AACAAACACAGGTCCATCGCCTCCTACGTGTCAGCCACAGATCTAGGTACTGGGGATACAGCCAGCCAGACAGATAAGGTACCCTCCTTCATGGAGCATACAGTCCAGTGGGAGGAGACCGTTAACGACAAATAAAGGCACAATATAATTAAAGATATGACAATAACTGCGGAGTAAATACTTTAGACTGGGGAGTTTGGGAAGGCCTTTGAGGAAAGTAATATTGAATTGAGACCAGAAAGGTGATGACAGTTAGAGAAAGTGAGGCAGCAATGGCCCTGGAAATGTTCCCAGGCATCCTTGCTTGCACCAAGCTCTCCTTCTAAAGAAAGCCCTTTTCTAAGTTTTGGCTTCTGCTGCCCTGCTTGGCATGAAAGATGCAATGGTGGACATAGATGTCATCGTGATCAATGTCCTTTACCTTTTGGAACTTAGAGTCTCATCTTTGCCTAGTTAATTTCTACCCGTACTTTAGATGAAAATTCAGATCTTCCTTGACATGCTCCCTCCCTCAAATCTGTTCTCTCTGTTAAATGCTGTCACAACCCCATGTACCTGATCTACATAGCATACACCATGGTATTCTATTTGATTCATATCTGTCTTTCCCATAAAGACTGTAAGCTCTGTGAAGGGCAGGACCAAATCTGTTATTTGCCCACCTTGGTATTCTCCAGGCTTCAGTGCCTGGTACATAGTAGGTGCTCAAAAAACTTTTTGAATGGCTGTGTGAAATTATTAACATGGTCTTTGCTCTCCAGTGGTTCATAGGCAGTGTCTCTGCCACTGGGTTGTTGTCTTTTCTTTCTGATTATATCTCTTTTCTACTTAAATGATTCCTCATTGCCTTTAGATGAAAGACCAAAATCTTTAACATCACACTGGATGTTCTTTTTAAAATGGCTTCATCTTTCCTATCCAACCTCCTCTCTCAACTTCCATCATCCCCCCTACCTGACCTTGTGTTTTTAGCCATACCAGATGTCTCCCTCTTCCTTCAAAGCCACTGGTTCTGAGCCTGTGTTCCCACTTGCTCTTTGCTTTGAATGCCCTTCCTCCCCATCTTTTCCTCCTATCCTTCAACAATCAGGTTGTGGGTCACCTTCTCAGAGACATCCTCCCTTTCTCTGTTGTGCTTGTTTTGAAAATTCCCTGTTACAGCTCTGATCACACTGAATGACAGTCATTTACATGCCCAGGACCCAGAATGTATTCAGTCAGCCTTTGCTGAGTAAATGAGGAAGTCCAAAGTGTACTGCCTATGGTTGGGACTTGCAATCACAAGTAAACTTTATTGAGTGCTTATTATGTGCCAACTACTATGTTGAACACTTAGCATTGATTACTTCTCACGTCTCAGTTTTATAGATGAGGAAAACAAGGCTTAGAGAGTTTAAGGAACTGTCTCCAGGTCTCAAAGATGGGTAGGAAAAGGTGGAGCTGGGATGTGAATCCAGGCTGCAGAACTATAAAGCTCTCTTTTAACCATCATGCCAGCCTGAGTCGGAACCACCTTTGCAAGCACTGGCTTGTAGGAGTGGATTTCTTCTGAAATCAGGTGCTGTCTCTACCTGTTTAGGCCTGGCCTCTGGGGCCTGGAAGTTAAAAGTTTGAAGAGGCACTACCTACTATGGCTCTTTCCCCAATCTAGGTCCCTACACTGGACACTCCCACAACCCTCTTTGGCAGGTGAACATGGAAAGAACGGGGCCCGTGAGTCATTTAGACTTCTGGACTGGTGAGCAGACCCCCTGGTGTTCCCAGCTGCCCTCCCAGCATCACTGGGAGGTTAGGAAAGAAGTATTTTTAGTCTGTTGAGCACAAGAGATCCAGGTGTCAAAGCAGACGGGCTGGGCTTCAATTTCAACTCGGTCACTAACGTGTCTGTCCCTCTTTGGACCTCTGAGCATCAATAATCCCTGTTGTCTGTAGCTAGGTTGTTGTGAGATACTAGTACAATCATAACTTGATTCAAACTAACATCTGTGCAACATGTGTCTGTTATCTATGTTCTGGAAAGCTGAAAGGTGAAAAGTCACCCAAGTCCCATTCATTACTTCACACCTTATAATTTTTGGTGGGCTACCTCACATGTACAGGGACCTCGTGGCTGACCCACGGAGATCCTAGAGTTGGAACAGGCATTGAGGATTAGACAGAGTGGTTCTGTCTCTTTTACATCCTTCTAGAATGGATATCTTCACAATCTTTTAAACAGCCCATGAACTAAGGTTCCTTTTGTACCAAGCTGCTTCCAACCTCCTTACCTTTGCTCCTGCTCTGTCCTCTGCCTGCAGCACCCTCCTTCCTGGCTAACCTCCACTACCAAGGCTCAAGGCAGGCTCTCCCGATCATTTAGGCTCCCCAGAAATACTTTCCTGACAGCAACACTCCCTACAAGCTCAAGTACACTAGACTCAATACAGCAAATGGTTAAGAGCTGGCCAGCTTCACCAACTATGAACTAAGTCCAAGGGCAAGTTTCTTATCTTCTCTGCATCTCTTATTTCCTCACTGATAAAATGAAGATAAAAATAGACCTAATCTCAGAACAACCTTAGAGTTGTTCTGAGCATTAATATATGCATAGCAAGTTAATGCTGAGAAAAGCCCTAGGGACAGCACTAGCACATGTTATAAGTGTGTTGCTACTACTGCCATTATCATAATTATTGGGTTGTAAGCTCCTGTGGGGCAGAGACCCTGCCCTATCGCTCTGTTTTCATAACACCAGGGCCTGGCCTGATATCCAAGATATGGGACATCCCATAACTCAGTGGCTGACCGTGCCTCCTCAGCTTATCTGTGAGGTTCTCAGGAGGTGATGGATGGTTTCCTCATCCCAGCCTCAATATGTCTTTGTGTTGTCACTGTTACTGTGCTGGCCTTGTATTGGCATGTCTTCTAAGGGGCCTGATTCACTTTCACTCTGTGATCCAGCCAATATGTGTGTCCCTTTCTGTGGGCAGGCCGAGTAGCATTGTGGAAAGAACATTGGATGGGAAGACAAGAGACGTGGCATCTGCCACTCACTGACTTGGAGGTGCATTTGGGCCTCTGCAGAAAAGAGCTCACACTGGCTGTTTTCTGTGAATTCTTTCATCCTTTCTGGTCCTTCTGTTCATCCACGTCCTTCTTCCCTGAAGCCTAGGGAGATTGTAAAATCTTAAAACCCCCTACAAGTGAGGAATGGCGGGGCACCTGGGTGGCTCAGTCGATTAAGCAGCTGCCTTTGGCTCAGGTCGTGATCCCAGGGTCCTGGGATCAAGCCCCAAATCGGGCTCCTTGCTCAGTGGAGAGTCGGCTTCTCCCTCTCCCTCTGCCTGCTGCTCTGCCTACTTGTGCTCTCTCTCTGTCAAATAAATAAATAAAATCTTAAAAAAAAAAAAGTGAGGAAAAGCCCATTCCTCCATCCCTGAAAAGACTGCAGATCTACTTAGAATTATAAGAAAAGTGTCCTTATATTCAGTCACTCACCAAACAGTTGATGAGGCCGACTCTGCACCAGGCCTGTGCTGGTCACAGAAAAGATAATAAGAGGAGAGACCAGGCATTGTCTTCACAGAGCTCACAGGCCAAGGAGGGCACAGAGCTGGAGCCATAATAAAAATAACCTAGGTCCGCTTAGCCAGTACTTCACAAAGAGGGCGGGAGTATTTCAGGAGTCACCTGGTGAGTGTTTTCCTCCTCAGCTGAGAGCTCTTGCTTTAGGCAGAAAAGTCAGCACCATCTGGACTAGTAGGTGCAGGCTCCGGGCCTTCAAGGCTCAAGTCAGGAGCCTCCTGAGGCCAGAGGGTGAAGCTTCTCTCCTGGCTCTGGGATCAGTTCCAGGGCAGGCCCCTGCCACCAGGAGCCTATGTGTCTGCTCTCTTCTTCCCATCCATATTCCTTTCAGGAGGGTCACGCAGCACAATGCCAGCTCTGCCCTTGGACCAACTTCAGATCACCCACACGGACCTGAAGACAGGAAAACTGAGGACTTCCCCAGCGCTGGTGAGCCGGGACCTTGAGGCTGTTCAGCCTGATACTATCGTTCTTGCAATTTCAGAAGCAAAAAGCAAATTCCTCCTTTATCTGTTCCAAGAATGACCCGAGGGCCACAGTCAGCAATTCAGTAGCTGGGACACTACTAGGTCCTCCCAGACCCAGTGCAGAAGTTTCCTTTCTGAGAGCAGCAGCTTGAATTTGAGTCCTGTTTTCCATGTTGCCACCCCACACCTTGCCCCCAAAGCATTTCATTTTGAATCAGAGTCTGATGGCTATTGTGGCTCAACCTGAGCTGGCCTAGAAAAGGATCCAGCCCAAAGCCGGGTTTGGGGATTTGACCTTGAGGGAAGCGTTCAGGTTTCAAGTAGGCCTTGTTTCAGAGCTATCTCACCTGCTATCCACACTTCAGGGGGGAACACCAGTTTCAGAGGTCAGGCTGTCTTTTATCGCACAGGGCCACGAAGCGCCACCTGCCACATACCGACTCTGAAGGGCTTGGGAGACTGAAAAATAAGGAGGCTGTGAGCGTGCTGATTACCAGCTGCAGGGTGAGATTAGGGCTGCGGAGAGGTGCCAGACTGCTGAAGGAGACAGACGTGGGGACCAGAGTCCCCACACCCACTTACCTTTTTCCCAAGAATATGAGCTTACTTGAGCAAGGTGGGAGGAAGTATTTTCTAGGGGGGCTTGAGTAAACTCGTGGGAAACAAGAGCTTGGTGTTGGGTTTTCTGCTCTCTGGATGGCTTCTTATTACTTCCTAACTCCTCTCTGATAATAGGACTTAATGTTTATAGAGCACTTGCTCTGGGCCAAATCTTCTAAACACTTCACCTGGATTATCTCTTTTAAGCCCCATAAGGAGGTATTTTGATTGTCCCCACTTTGCAGATGAGGAAAGTGAGAGTTCAAGGTCACAGAACTAGGAAATTAAGGGAACGGGGATGGGAAGCCAGCTAGACTGACTCTGGATCTCATACCCTTAACCTTTCTGCTATAAAGCCTGCCATTTCTTTTTTATAACCTTTTTATGTGAGAAGGTATTTATCAGAATATCCAGATCCGTTCTGCTCAGCATGGTAGCCACCTAGTGCAGTAGTCATTTGCCACAAATAGGGGTTACACACTTGAGATGTAGACAGTTTGAGAAGCTACATTTTATATTTAATTTTAGTTATTTTGAATTAAAATAGTCCACATGGTGAGTGCCTACTGTATTTGCCAGCACAGATAGGGAACAGTTCCATTAACACAGAAACTGATTTTCCACCTCAGTCCTTCCCTGTGTACTTAATGCCCAGGTTGCTAGGCTGTGGGCTTCACGAGAACAGGATCCTGGTCCCTTCTCTTCATTCTGGTTTCCCGGGTACCAGGTGCTTTTCTTTCAGGAAGCATTCAATAAATGAGTCAAGGACTCCAGCCAGCCCTTGTGCCAGATCCTGGAGCTACAGAGAAAAAAGACATGGTTCCTGCCTTTGAGGAGTCTATGAGAAGACCAGCAGTGAAGAGAAAAGCAGACCAGTAGTTTCTCTACGGTGTGATCAAGGTGGTGTTAGAAGTGGCTACTTGAATGCAGAGCCCAGGCCACTGATCCAGACTGAATGGGGTGTGTGGGGCAGGGATACCTTGGGGCTGGTGGGAGGGCATGTGCAGCTAGGGAAGGCTTCATGAAGGAGAGGAGGGACCCCGGACTGGGTATTGAAGGGGGAATAATCAGTAGCCATGAGAGCAATGGGAGAAGGATGAAGCTGGCAGGAGGACCCAAGTATACCATCCCAGAGTCCTGAGAGCCCGACTCCTACCCAACCACCACTTCCTTGGGGTGGAAGCAGTATCATTCAGTTGGAGCACAAGCTTTGTGTTAAATCTCACACATGCTTAACCACATAACTAGAACATTGTAAGCACTCAGTGACCGTGATGGTAGCAGGGACAGTGGCAGAAGGTTCGAATGGGGAATAGGGTGGGAAAAAGATGAGCTGAGGGAGACAGCTGCCTGATGAAGGAGTGGTCTTGTGGAAGAGATCTGTACTCACTCTATATTTGTCTCGTTAGTCCCAACTTAAGACAAGAAGATCTCTAGCCAAGGGAGAGCCACCATGTTGCCTTTGCAGAGTGATAGGTGGAGCTAATGTTTATTGAGTAGCTACTGTGCACAGCTCACAATTAGTGCTATTGAAAACCCAAAAGAAATAAAGTCTTGAGCCACAATGAGTGAATGAGCTCTTGGGGAGGGCAAGACTCATGTAAGTGGAACATGGAACAGGCAGAGAACAGGGCGAAATGGTTTCTTATCAAGATCGGCAGAACAGAAGTTTGATGGGCAAAGAATGTCCAGAAAGCTTCACAGAGCAAGTAGGACCTGAGCCAAGGTCGAAGGATGGAAGATACAGCTGGGCCTGCTAGTCTCTGCCCTGACATCTCCCCACGGCTCCTGCTACCTACTAAATTAAGTTCCTGCTCTTGACTTTGGCATTCAAGGTCCTTCAGAGAACTTGGTGGGATCTGGTCCTTCTTTACCCGCATTGATGCTTTGTCCAGCCAGCAAATGTAGATGGAGTGTCTGCTCCATGCCAGACACTCATCCAGGGACTGGGAATGCTGTGGTGAGCAAAGCCCAGACTGCTTCTGCAGACCTATAGGCTAGGAGGGGAGACAGAGAAGGCAGGCCCTTCCTTTTCATATAACTTGATGGGGGCATGACTGAAAGACAGTCAAACTGCACATACTGAAAGTATACAATTTGGCTGGTGTTGACATTAGTATGCACCCAGGGTACGTTCATCATAGTCAAGGTAATGAACATTTCTACCCCTCCCAGAAAGGTTCCTTGTGCCCTTCAGTGACCCAACCTTTCTTCTGTCCCCATGGACAGCACCCACTGATCTGAAAGTACTTTTTTTTTTTTTTTAAGATTTTTATTTATTTATTTGACATAGAGAGGGAGATCACAAGTAGGCAGAGAGGCAGGCAGAGAGAGAAGGTGAAGCAGGCTCCCCGCTGAGCAGAGAGCCCGACGCGGGGCTCAATCCCAGGACCCTGAGATCATGACCTGAGCTGAATGAAGGCGGAGGCTTAACCCACTGAGCCACCCAGGGCCCCTGAAAGTACTTTTGATGCAGTTCGACAGTTGCCGTGATTGGGGGAGTCCAAGTGCACACCCCACCTGGTCAGGGTTGGGAGCTGGGAAGACTTCCTGGAGTAGGTGAGGTCAGAGCTGGGATCAGAAGGCCAAGCAGCGGGACCAGGAGAGCACGTGGGTACTGTGGGTCATTGAAAAGGTCTGCAGCACAAGCTTTGGTTTAAATCCTGCCTCAGTGGCCTCCTTAGCCCTGTGACCTTAGCAAAATTCCTGCCCCTTACTGATTGTTTCCTCCTCTGTAAAATGGGGAGAATACTATCTCCCTTTTAAATAATTATTAATGAAAAAGAACTAGCCTGTGGGGCATTCGCACCCAGCAGCCAGCACAGAGCAGGTCTTGTCAAGTGGCGGCCTTTATTTTCACCATTCCAGTGTTCTCTCCCTCCACATCTGTTTCCCACCACCCAGTGCAATCCTGGCCCCTTTTTTTGGTTCTCGGCCCATTTTTATGCCTCCATAATGTACCATTTCTTCCATCAAAAAAAAAATCCTTCTCATTTCCCAAGGCCCAGCTTAGATGCTGCTTGCTCTGGGAAGTCCTCCCTTGTCCTCTGGGTGCAGATAATCACCTTTGCCTCCCCGCCCTCCATGGTCCCTCTGCCAGGTTTGGGCTGTTACTTTCTCTGTTTTGTGCCCACTTGCTGGCTTAGATGTGCATCTCCTCTCTGGAGCATAGGCTCCGTGAGCATGCTGACGTTTTCTTCATGTGCCTTGCCATACCTGGCCCAATGTTGTGCCAGTAAATGTTTGTAGGAATGCAAGGACCGTAGAATCTCGGGTCGGGGGTGTCTATCTGTCTGTCTGTCAGAGGAGTAGGGGGTGATGAGGAGCCCTGACTGAGAAGTAACCTAAGAGATGAGGTGTCGACAGAAAGACGAGGGGAGGAGCTCGGAAACCAAGGAGATAATTTAGGTCCAAGAGAGTAGTTTTGAACTTGTTTCAATCGGCAGGAGTCCCTTTTTCAAAAAGCTTGTCCCTGGAAGCCCACTATATAAATTCTGATTCCCACAGGGGCGGGGTCCTGAAGACTCGCCTGATAGGGATCCCCCCACCAAGGAATCCTTGTGGAACCCAAAGACTCCACAGTTTGAAAACTCTCATCAGGCTGTAGTGAGGCATAGGGGGTTCTCGAGGAAACTGACCAATCCATCATGATTTTCCTGTCCCCCTGGACTGACAGACCTGGAAGTAGGTGGATTGTGGTTGATAACCACTGAGACCTTGCCCGGCCTTCCTCCTCTTTCCACTTCCCCCGGAGAAAGCAGCCCTAATGTAGTCAGAGGAGAAAACTGAGCTCATCATCTCTTCTTAATGGTGAACGAAGTAAGGTTTGTTCATGGCAAGGTAAGGGTTGGTAGAGAGAACTTGTGATTCTAAGCTGAGACCTGCAATTACTTGATTAGCATTCTTTTCTTTAAAAGAGAAAAGTTACCAAGTTTTTTTTTTTCCCTGATTCTAAGAAGGATATAGAATGATACATACAGTATGGTACTATTTATATAAGAAAGAGGAAAACAGATCTAACATACCTTCTATGGGTATATTTTTCCCGTAAAAGCCTAGAAAAGGTTTGCAAGGACACTCACCCGATGCTGAGTGGTCACTCCTGGGAGGATGTGGGGACTGGGAGTGTGGCCCCAGGAATCTCCTCTTCTCTACAGGGTTGTAAGTTTTGAAAGAAAAGATATGCATGCCTTCCTTGTAGAATTGTAAAATAACTTAAAAAATAATACGTGTATGTGTTTTTTAAACTGGAAAATGTATTCCAGTCATAATATAGTCATAATCCCCCCCCACCAAAGATAACCACTATTAGCTTTGGTATCTTGAGCGCCCCACCCACCCCGCACAGGTCGGCTTTTTTTTTTTTTTAATCTGTGTTAAAAATATATACTTCTTTAAAAATCCCCAAACTGGTTTTATTAAATAGGTTTATATCCCGGCTTTCTCTTGCCTTGACCTTTCCCCATGGCATTAAAATATCCTCCAAAACACATGGTTTTTAATGCCAGCCTAGTGTTCCCTGGGTGCAACCAAGCCCCCTTTGTTAAAGACACTTGGTTCTTTATGCTTAAAAACTCCTTGGAGGGTCACCGGTTGGAACAGCCAAGTGTTGTCATTGCTGTGGGTTGGCAAATGGGCCCTCGCTGACTAACCTCTGCCACGTTAACACGTGGTTTTTGGATCCGTAGCACCCCGAGCAGAAGGCAGACCGGTATTTTGTGTTATACAAACCGCCCCCTAAAGACAACATTCCCGCCCTAGTGGAGGAGTACCTGGAACGCGCCACCTTCGTAGCCAATGACCTCGACTGGCTCCTGGCCTTGCCTCACGATAAATTCTGGTGCCAGGTAACATTCTATCAAAATTAACACTAAGACAAAGCACATGACATGCCGTTGGTTGGTTGCTGTTGTTGTTTTTCTCCCCCCTAGGAGATGCTTTTTTCCCTACTTCTTACACTGGATCCTTAACAGCAAATTGTGGTTTGGATTGCTCTGTCTTGTATCACAATCTTAACGATGTTTACACAACGCCTTCCCACATGTCATTTTTAGAAACTTGTGTTTAGCCCTCGGCTCATTCGTACCTCCTTAGTCCCTCGGGGTTGGAGTGTTTGCCTTAGGCCAGGGCTGGTAGGCCCATGAGCCCCTGCACAGTCCACCCACAAGCTCTTGTGCCTCAGTGACAAATCCTCGCTCTGATCTGTGTCTGGCACAGGTTATCTTCGATGAAACCCTGCAGAAGTGCCTGGACTCCTATCTGCGCTATGTCCCCCGAAAGTTCGATGAGTGGGTGGCCCCGGCCCCTGAGGTTGTTGACATGCAGAAACGCCTCCATCGAAGTGTTTTCCTCACTTTCCTCCGCATGTCCACTCACAAGGAATCCAAAGTAAGCCCCTGGCCCCACGACAGGGTGCCGCCCGATACCCAGCACCTCTGTGCCAGACTCTCCCGCCCCTGGGAAGGAAGGCTCTGGAAGGCTCTGGAAGTATCGAGTTTCCTCTTCGTCTCCCCTCCGCCTTGATTCCCACCTTTAGGGAAGAAGTCTGTGGCCACCCCCCTTATCTGTGAATTCACTGGGTCTGCGTTACATCCGGTGTTTTCATCAATGGGAGCTGAGGGCCCTTTGCCAGTTGACGTGTGACTGCCATTTTTCATGCGTCAGAGGGTGAAAACATTGATTCTGATCTGTTAAAGGAACTTTTATGTACTTTTTAAAAACCTTTACTTTTCTCCCCCCAGTTTTAAAAATAACGTGTTCTCTAAACAACTCAAACATTGTAGAAATATTTTGTAGGTAGTGAAAGTCACCAGAAAATCCCTTTCCCCAAAAATAACCACCGTTATGGTGCGTGTTCCTTCAGGGAATTATTTTCCTTTCAATATGCTTGTGTGTGTATGAGTCCATATTTATTTTTACGATAAGATCTTGCCTTTTTTTTCCCCCAAAACTTTTTGTAGTATGGAAACTTACAAATATATGCAAAGGCATAATGAACCCCATGTACCTACCTATCACCCGGCTTCAACAATTGTCAGTATTTTGCCACTTTTATTTTCTTTCTTCCCCTGAGGGTTTTTTTTTCCTGGAATGTTTTTTTGTTGTTTTTTATTTTTTGTTTTTTTTGAAGGAGAGAGAGACAGAGCTTGAGAGTGCAGGAGCGGGGTTGTTGAAGGGCAGAGGGAGAGAGAGAATCTTAAGCAGATTCTACACCCAGCACAGAGCCTAACACAGGGCTCAGTCTCACCACCCTGAGATCATGACCTGAGCCAAAATCAACAGTAGATGCTTAACTGACTGAGCCACCTAGGCACCCCTTTCCTGGAGTATTTTATTTTATTTATTTATATATTTTAAAGATTTTATTTATTTATTTGACACAGAGAGAGAGATCACAAGTAGGCAGAGAGGCAGGCAGAGAGAGGGGGGGAAACAGGCTCCCCACTGAGCAGAGAGCCCGATGCTGGGCTTGATCCCGAGACCCCAGGACTATGACCTGAGCCAAAGGCAGAGGCTTTAACCCACTGAGCCACCCAGGCGCACCTCCTGGAGTATTTTAAAGCAATTCCAAACATCATAGTAATTTATCTATAAATATTTTATTTTTTTAATAAGCTCTACGTCCCATGTGGGGCTTGAACTCAAGACCCCAAGATCAAGAGTTGCATGCTCTACTGTCTGAGCCAGCCAGGCACCCCAACCCATAAATATTTTAGAATGAATGCCCAACCGACTATTTAATAGTGTGTTTTTGCCTCTTTTTACATTCAAATGAAGAATAGCTGTTGCTTAAGGTCAATATATGAGGCTCAGACATGCCTGCAGTATGGATGGACCTTCATTTATTAGCCAGTCCCCCATTGTTCCTTGTGAGCTTGCTATTACTTTACCAAGAGTATGCTTTTGGAAGGTCTCTCATCCTCTCTCTCTGCACTGTTCCTTAGGATCACTTCATTTCCCCCTCTGCGTTTGGAGAAATCCTCTACAATAACTTCTTGTTTGACATCCCAAAGATCCTGGACCTCTGCGTGCTCTTTGGAAAAGGCAACTCGCCTTTGCTCCAGAAGATGATAGGTATGTAGGGCACAGGGCCTGGAGGGCTGCACAGAGCTGGCCCCCACAGGCCAAACTAGAGCACCTAGATGAGCACAGGGGAATTCAGAACTGCAGTGGCAAATGGGGTTTGGACCTGACTTTGCAGGTATGTGTGTTTCAACTCCGAAAGACACAACTAGGTGGCCATGGGGGAGTAGAGACAACACTGGACCCCACGGTCCCTCAAGGGTCTTAGTAGTAGGCCACATGTCAAACTGTTGAAGGAGTGGGGAGGTTTGCTTCAGCGGTGACAGTAAGAACAGCAGTGATTGCTGACCTTTAGGTGAGCTCACTCAGGGCCTGGCACTCTGCCGAGCTCCTTGTATGTGATCTTAATTGATCCTCATGGCAGTCCTGGGATGTGGCTCTGTAATCATCCCTCTTTACAGACAAGGAAACTGGGGTTAAAATGTAAGGGACTTGCCCAAGAGCCCATGACTGATAAGTGGCCAAGCTGGGATTTATGTCACAGAGGCCTGACTCTCCAGCTCTTCCTCTTTGTCACTCCCTGCCTCAGGGATAATGGGGCTGCCTCAGAAGTCTCATGATTTGCATTGTTGCTGGGATCAGTTGGAGACCAAGTTCAGAGAGGACTCTTTTGGGTTGAGAAAGGAATGACTTCAGCAGTTGGATCCCATCATGAGGCAGTGGGCTGGAGGGGTCAGTCAGAGACTGAAGCTTGGTTGGGATGCTGCAGAGGGAACAACACCCTAGTGTTGGGCAGGACACAGAGACAGGACACCACTGTCAGCCCTCCTCACCCTCAGATTATAGGACATAGCCTTCCCAAATGCCCAATTTCAAAGCTAACTTGTCCCTTGAAATGGTTTCCTTCCTTCCTCCTAATGAAAAAGGTAATAATAAAGGTAATACAGGTTCCTTTAGAAAGTTTGGGGAGAATATAAAGCGTAAAGAAGCAAGAAAGCAATTACCAAATTTTGGCACCCATAGACAATCATTGGGTGATTATTTCCTTCCAGTCTTTTCTCTGCGTATTTTTGAAAAACATGTCAGAGCATAACGTATATGAAATTTCACATCTAGCCTTTTCCTTGAAATGGTGTCTGGTTTCTCATTCAAATGTAATTGTTCCCTGATCATCAGTTCAATTCTTTTACTTTTCCAGAGAAAAACTCTTCATAATGTTACTATAGACAGAGGGCATCGGGTGAGTGAGCAAAACCAGGCACGAGAGATAGTTAGAGAAACAGTTATTAGGCCAGTGGTTAGAGTGGAGCATTCTGAGAGGGCAGCAGCAGAGCATTCTGGGAGGGCAACAACAGGAGATGGGGAAGGGGAAGCTGGGGCCAGATCAGGGAGGACTCTATGCCAGCCGTTAGCACTCAGGGAACAGTATCACATGGTGGTTCAGAAGGCAGGCTCTGCCCAGTTCACACCCCAACCCTATTCCTGAGTGTGTCACTTTGTCCAAATCAGTCAACCACTGGAGCCACAGTTTTCACATCTGAAAAACGGGAAGACGAATGCTCTACCTACCTGATAGGATGGTTGTCAGGATTAGCACAGTGCCTGCCTCGTTATAAGCACTGGGTTACTGTGAGCTCTTACTGGAATGAGGCCACGGGAGCTGTGGAGAGGAGCTGTCTGATGTTATAGTTAATTTGGCAGCGTGCCAGTGGGAAGGGTGGTGACAGGAGACTGAGGAGGAGGCCAGTACTTCAGCGTGGATTTGGAGGTGAGAGCCTGGGTTGGCTGAAGAGGACATCCTGGAGGTAGAATAAAGCAGGGTTTAGGGAGGTGAGCTAGAGGGAGACATCAACAATTCTTGAGAAAACTGGTGTCAGGTGCAGGAAAAAGGCTTTTCAGGTGCGGGTGAGGGGGGTGTGTTGCAAGTGGAGGCACAGTCAGTGTTAGATCTGTGGGGTGTGAGACACTGTGCAGATTCAGGGGGAAAGGACTTTTGCCCGTAGTTCCAGGTGGGCAAGGGTGGGTGAGAAAGGTCGTAATTTTTTGAGTAGCTGACTTCTTTGAGAATCAGATGAAAGTTTGTCCCTAGAAGAACATACCCCCTTATAAATTTTGAAGTGTCATAGAATGTTTTTGTCCCGCAGATTGAGAACCCTTAATTGGCTCATTTAGGAAAATCTTTTCTTTGGCTCTTAGAGGGTGGTTCATGGAAAAGAAGGCAGACCAGGCATCAGGAGCCCCTTTGTTGTGTGTGCATTGGGGTGTGTGTGTGTGTTGGTGTGGAGGAGGGGCCTGGAGACACACGTGCGCACACGTGCCCCCCACCACATACACATACAGCAGCTGTCTTTCCAGCCCTTGAGCGGCAGGCACTACAAGGGGCAGCCTCCAATGTCTCTACCACAGAAGCTCTTGAGCCAAGCAAATCAGCTGTAGTAAGAGTGTTGACAAGGGAGAGAAGGAGGGAACAAGGGGACTGGCCGATTGTCCTTTGGGCAGAAACCCAGTCCTTACCAGGTACCCTCCCACCCCCCTCAACCTTCCTGCACAAACACACCTTACTTTTTTTTTTAACCTCAAGATTGGTGTTCTGAATCAGGAAGTGTGATTTTGCAAGCAGGGCCTTGCAGTTAGACTCTTGGAGGCACTTTGTGAAAGCAGGAGTACGTCAGGCCTTGGCGCCATCGAGGACGACACTGATCTCTTTGGCAATCCCTTCCCTTCACCCTGGGTTTCTGAACTGCTTTAGTCTGAGAAGGATGCCGCCATTGTCCCTTATTTCTTAATTGTTTCTTTAAGAGATTGCAAGTCAGATCTTCACCATCACTGGATCAGATAAAGGAGAGGAAAGGGTCAGTTGTGAAATGTTATCTGTTTTGATGCTTGTAAAACATCCCTGTTACTCAGATATAAGCACTAGAAGGATTATGAAAGAGTGCCCTACCCCAGGTCAGGTGGTTAGGGCGCAGTGGGGTCTACCGTATGGTACTGGTGGGGAGACCGGCTCCTCACGCCTGAGTCAGGAGGCACTGCCTGGAGGAGGTGACACCTGCCCTATGGTAGACTCAACTCTGGGAGGTCACTCCAGGCAAGGGGAGGGGACAGGGCTTGTTCTCTGAGGTTGAGGAGGTACAAGAGAGAATGAAGCCCAGGAAATGGAGAGAGGGTGCGTGGAGGTGCTTTCCTGGCCAGATCTCACATGGCCCTCTGTGCTCCGGTCCGGAGTTCAGACTTGACCTTGAGGATGCCGTTGGCTGGGAGGGTTTTATGAGAAAGAACAGAAGTTGGTGGGGAGACAGCTCAGTCCCTGCTTGCTGTCAAGAGTAGGAGGCGGCCACAGATGGTCAGGGAGTACCTTCACAGGTTGAGGGATCAGCACCCTTCTGAAGGTGGGATACCCTGAGCGAGCTTGTGCTTGGAAAACTCTGCTTTGTGGAGTCAAGGAATGAAGGGGCATCCAAGAAATCGTTTACAGAAAGTCCGGCTACATAGTGACTTGCTTCCTCACCCAGTCCCATCTGGCCTTTGATTCCATGGATTTTCAAATCCTCAAGGATGGGGCAAGGGCTTCCCTTGGTTTTCATTAAGGAAACCAAGGACCGACCTGCCCAAAGACAAAGGATGCCTAGAATTCAGCACAGCCTGATAGCCAGCCTTAGCCATTAGGATTGTGATGGGCTGAAGAACCCTGGCCTCTTCTTAAAGGTGTTGGTATTTTGCATCAGCATGTCTCCTGGCTAGCTATGATTTTCCCTTCCTCCCTCGCCATTTGGGCAGCCGGAACACTCGGTCTCTGTTCCAGTTACCATATGCTCTAGCCTATGCACTCACAGCAGCAGCAGCGCTCGGAGGTAGTAAACATTTGGAAAGGAGCTTTGTTTTAAAGGAACAACTGCAAATGCGTGGTAAACCTGTCTCTAGGTCCCTTCCAGGCCTCTCCCCTTGGAGGAGGGTAGGTTAATATGGCTAACGTATTCAAAAGCAGAGGGTAAGAGAATTTCCAGACAAATTTCTCCCTAGAGTCTCTTCACATTATTAGAGGCGTGGCCTGGCAAGAGTCCTGGATTGTAGCATCCAGGTTTCTTGAGCAAAGAGATCATATCTCCTGATTTTCCTGGATGACTAACTCCCACTTCCAAAGCCAATGCTGTCATCCAAGGCACGGTGCCCAAGTATGATCACTCCCTGGGGACGTCAGCATGAGCTGGTTTGACCAGGGCAGGCCTTTTTTTTTTCCTCTTTCTTTCTTTCTTTTTTTTTTTTTTATATTAGAGAGCGAGAGAGAATGCAAACAGGGGCAGAAGCAGAGGGAGAAGCAGACTCCCCACTGGGCAGGGAGCCCGATACGGAGCTCAATCCCAGGGCCCTGGGATCATGACCTGAGCCGAAGGCACTTAACCGACTGAGCCACCCAGTTGCTCCCAGAGTAGGCCTTTGATGTAATTCGCTAGGCAGAGGTGCTTAAAAGGTTAAATTGTACTGAGTAAAGTCCTCCCTCGTGCTGGGGAAGTTTCCAGGTTGGGCCAAAGCTCTGTGCCAGCAGGGCCTGGGGCCGGGACTGCTCTAGTGCAGATAGGTTTAAGAAAGGGGAGAAAGGTCACAGAACATGCTGGCAACCATTTGTAATGTGTCCTCCCCTCCCCCACCCTCTTTTCCCAATCCCTACCTTTCTTTTCTCTTTTCAGGAAACATCTTTACGCAGCAGCCCAGTTACTATAATGACCTGGATGAAACCATGCCCACCATCCTTCAGGTACCAGCTCTCATCCCTGCCCAGATCCCCTCCCCAACCCGATGGCATGGCCCTGGACTTTCTTAGAATAGCGTGGAGAAATGTTTACTCCCCACCCCTCTCTAGCCCCATCTCCAGACAGTCTCTGGGTCTTGTGCCTCAGCACACCCTTTCAAATTTGCCCTTTCCCCCACTTGAACAGAACTGGAATCTAAGGGCTGTCTAGAACTCATACAAAAAGAGCTTAAATTGTGTGCTGTTTACCAACAGCCACGAGCCTCTAAGGACACCCCTTTAAGAGGCCTGTGTTGCTCAAATAAGAGTTTTAAAAGTCTATAAAACTGTTTTAGAATATAATAATGTTCATTGTAGAAAATTTGGAAAATATAAACAACCAATAAAAACCAAAAAACCGAAGATTAACCCTTCATCCCACCACCAAGAGACTCTACTATTCATGATAACATTTAGCGTAGTTATGTGCTAGCTTCCTTATAGATGGTACAATGAATTCAGGACTTACGTGATTTTACGATGGGGTGTTTTCTTCACACCGTTGATTTGTTTTTTATTTCAGTATATTTCCATAAATTGCCATCTCCAGAGAATCCAAAACATATATTGTTGAAAGTGTATCTTAAATGTTCATTACCATACACTTGCCCAGCATATTCATTCAGATAATTTCTGTAGGATGCTGGGGGCTTTTCATACATGTTTTTTTGTTTGTTTGTTTGTTTGTTTTTTAGTTTTACTTAAGTAAAATAAATTTTTTTTTTTAAATTTGAGCCCCCATCATGGGACTTAAACTCACAACCCCAAGATCAAGAGCCATAACTGAGCCAGCCAGGTGCCCCTTTACATTTTGTGTTTTTAATCCTCCCCACAATCCTGTAAGAAGAATAACCCCCATCATCGCGATTTTATCGTTTCCACTCTAACCCTGTGTCCTGGCGTTCTCTCAGCTGGTTTCTTGGAAACACTGGCCCATACTTGAAAGATTCCAAGGCAGCTTGCAGATCGCCCATCCCCAACTGCAGGTCAGGGGTCCTAGCTGCTGGTTCGACAGGATGTAGGAGGACCCCTTCTTGTGTTTCACAGGTTTTCAGCAATATCCTCCAGCACTGTGGTTTGCAAGGGGACGGGGCCAGCGCCACACCCCAGAAGCTCGAGGAGAGGGGCCGGTTGACCCCCAGCGACATGCCTCTCCTGGTGAGGTTGCCCTTCAGCCCAGCCTGTCTTTGGCCAGCAGAGGACCCCACACTCCTTCCCTTTTCTCGTGACCCTTTTCCCCAACTCCAGAAGCAGCTAGTCCCATCACATAGGCTTAGAGCATTTTAGCAGTCTTTGAATTTTTCTCTGGGAGCTTCTTTATGAGGCAGTGGAAGGAACAGGGAACTAGAGTTCCGAGAGGGAGGTTCAGTCTTCACTTAGCTCAGCACAATGAGCTCATTCGTGTTATTCATCGAGCCCTGTGTTGGGTCCACAAATTTGTACTGAGGAGGCTCCAGCAGGTGCTGAGCCTTCAGGGTAAAGCAGCAGGGCAGAAGCAGGCATGGGACTTGCAGTCTAAGCCAGAGGTAAATAAGGAACACAGACCTGTGTCAGGCCTTATGCTAAACACTGGCGATAGAGCAAGAAAGAGGCAGCCATCGGCTGCCCTATTGGAACTCACAACCTCGTGGGAAAATGGGCATTAAACAGGTATTTCAGAAGGAGGCACTCCAAGTTCTGTGGGAACAAGTCATTTTACCTGCCTAAACCTCAGTTTCCTAATCTGTACGATAGAGATCCGAACAGCTGCTCAGCCTGCCTTTCAGAGTGTTCAAGAGACTCTGGAACACATGTAAGAATATACTCTGTGTTCTGTATGGACTTGATATTCTTGTCCTCAGTGGGACGTACCTTCTGTGTAGGACCACAGGCATTGTCTTCAGGTCCTTCAGCCCAGAAGAGAGAACTGTATTATGCTAGAACTAGAAGTAACCCCAGATCACTGGGTGGGTGTCTGTCGGAGCTAAGGTAGCAAGACCTGAGGTAAGAAGATTGAGTAACTGGTCCAGATCGTGCTGCTAGAGACGGACCAGCCAGTCTTCACACAGACCTCCAATGATCTCTCCCCCTCCCACCTCCCTGCCCGCCCAAGGCAGCTGCCTGTTGGCTCCCACTGGTTTTGTCAACTTTGTCTCATACCCACCACAGAGCTGTGTATGGGGGTGGAGGAAAATAATGCAGTGTTTTCTTTTGGCAACAGGAATTAAAAGACATTGTTCTCTACCTTTGTGATACCTGCACAACGCTCTGGGCCTTTCTGGATATCTTCCCCTTGGCTTGCCAAACCTTCCAGAAACACGACTTCTGTTACAGGTACAGCGGTAATTCCAACTCCTCAAGTAAGGGTGCTAGTTGACATCCTCATTCAGCAGATATTTACTGGGTACTTAGAATGTGCCAGGCGTTCTTCCAGCCTGGGGATACAGTAGTGAAGAAGACAGGTAAGGCTCCTGCTTGTGTGGATCCTGCATTTTATCTTTTTTTCTCCTAAGACTTTTAAAAATTTATTTGAGAGAGAGAGAGCAAGAGCAAGCACAAGCAGGGGGTAGGAGCAGAGGGAGAGGGAGAAGCAGACTCTTTGCTGAGCAGGGAGCCTGATGCAGGGCTTGATCATAGGACCCTATGATCATGACCTGAGCAGAAGGTACACGCTTAGCGACTGAGCCACCCAGGTGCCATGGAACCTGCATTTTAGAAGCATTCCCTTTTTTTTTTTTTTTTGTAAGATTTTATTTATTTATTTGACAGAGCAAGAGACACAAGCAGGCAGAGCAGCAGAGGGAGGGGGAGAAGCAGGCTCCCCACTGAGCAGGGAGCCCGATGCGGGGCTTGATCCCAGGACCCTGGGATCATGACCTGAGCTGAAGGCAGTCGCTTAACCAACTGAGCCACCCAGGCACCCCAAGCGTTCCCATTTTTGGCTAAGAACCAGATAAGGGAGAAAAAAACCCAAGTTCAGTTCCTTGGTTTCAAAGCCCCTCTCATGGGCAGGCACAAAGGAGTAACAGATCTTAAGAAGTGGTCTGAGGAGGGCGTCTGGGGGGCTTAGATGGTTAAATGTCTGCCTTTGGCTTGAGTCATGATCCCAGGGTCCTGGGATCAAGTCCCCACATCGGGCACCCTGCTCAGCGGGGAGCCTGCTTCTCCCTCTCTCTCTGCCTGCTGCTCCCCCTGCTTGTGCTCTCTCTCGCTCTTTCTCTCTCCCTGTCAAATAAATAAATAAAATCTTAAAAAAAAAAAAAAACGGGTCTGAGGACTTCAGCATCTGGTCTCAAGCAGAGCACACTCAAAGAAACAAGCAGATAAGCTCACATGTGAGGCCGGCTGCTGTGGCCATATTATGAAGCACTCTGGGAACACAGAGGAGGGAGGCAAAATTCCATCTGGTGAAGTAAGAGGTTTCATGATGGCCTTTAAGTGAGAATGGACAGGAACCTTCCAGACGGAAGGATTACTCCAGCAGGCAGAACGAGGGTAAGAAACCCCAGAGGGTTTCCAGGGAGAGCCAGGGAGTGGAGTGGGATGAGGCAGGGCCCAGAGCAGCAGGAAAAGGAGCAGCTAACAAGAGACACTCTGGAGAGGTTGGTAAAAGCTGGATTGTGAGGATCCCTGACGTCACTGGCAGGGAGTGGGGCCTCTATTCTGTAAGCAATAGGGAGCCACTGGGAGCTTTTATCCAAAGGAGTTATAGAAAGATCCTGCCAGGATGAGGAAAGATGTAGGGAGGGAGACCCTCCTTGCACACTTAGCTTTACAGGCATCTGTCTGTTCCTTGTGCAGCGATGAAGGGGTGCACAGGCCTGGGCTGGTAACCTGCATGTTGCCTGGGAACAATGTCGGGGTAGTGCTGGCCTGTTCTCAGTGGCCTATGGCTGTCACTCTTGCTAGACATCTCCCCAGCGTTTGCAGGAGCTCCTGGGAGCTGCCCAACTCTGTGTACTCAGCCACCAGTCCATTCAGTCGTTTTACTCACCCATTCAACAAAACATGTATCTAGCACTGACCTGTGTCAGAGAGGGCAGCTGGTGTTCTAACCCCTCCTCGGTCCCCTCAGCTTGAGAAGGTCGCACGTGAGGACTAATCAGCGTCCCAGAGGATGTTAGAATAAAGCACCAGTCGGCACTTCACCTGAAGAAAGGGGTTAGGATAGACCTGTGGCAATCCGCCCCCCCTTTCTAAAGATTTTATTTATTTATTTGACAGAGACACAGCGAGGGAGGGAACACAAGCAGGGGGAGTGGAAGAGGGAGAAGCAGGCTTCTAGCTGAGCAGGAAGACCTGATGCGGGGCTTGATCCCTGGACCCTGGGATCATGACCTGAGCGGAAGGCAGAGGCTTAACAACTGTGCCACCCAGGTGCTCTGCCGTCCCCTTTTTGAAAAGGTATCTTTTCTCATGGTTAAAATGGCAAATGCAGGGCGCCTGGGTGGCTCAGTGGGTTAAGCCTCTGCCTTCGGCTCAGGTCATGGTCTCAGGGTCCTGGGATCGAGCCCCGAGTCGGGCTCTCTGCTCAGCAGGGAGCCTGCTTCCCTTCCTCTCTCTCTCTCTCTCTCTGCCTGCCTCTCTGCCTACTTGTGATCTTTGTCTGTCAAATAAATAAATAAAAATCTTTAAAAAAAAAAATAAAATAAAATGGCAAATGCTCATAGGAAATTTGGAAAATCTCCAAAGGTAAAAAATTAAAATCAATATGAGCGATCATGCTGTTTTTAGGATTTTGTATCCTGCTTATCTTCACTTACTATAGGCATTTTCTTTTCTTTTCTTTTTTTAAGTAAACTACCCCTAGTGTGGGGTTCAAACTCACAAACCCACGATCAAGAATGTTCTGGGGCGCCTGGGTGGCTCAGTGGGTTAAAGCCTCTGCCTTCGGCTCAGGTCATGATCCCAGGGTCCTGGGATCGAGCCCCGAATCGGGCTCTCTGCTCAGCAGGGAGCCTGTTTCCCCTTCTCTCTCTGCCTGCCTCTCTGCCTACTTGTGACCTCTATCTGTCAAATAAACAAATAAAATCTTAAAAAAAAAAAAAAGAATCACATGCTCTACCGACTGAGCTAGCCAGGTCCCCCCATAGGCATTTTCCTGTTTTGTTAAAGCATCTTCCCAAACATGGTAACAGATTGCTTTTGAAAGGGTCTTTGGAAACAGGGTAATTTTTGGAAGAACTGACTTTCCTGCAAGGGACAGTGAAGGCTGGGGAGCGGCTCCACCCATGTTAGAGTGAGGAGGGAGGAAGAAAGGAAAACAGGGTTGACTACAAGTGACACTGCCTTTGACCCACTAACAGCTCCGGGCTGGCCCAGCGTGTTCTCACTGTGTTGGAGGCCAGGAACGCCCGCTGAGCAAACGCAGCCATCTCAGTGCCCGCAACTTTCTGCCCACCAAACAGCCCACCAAACAGCTCTGTGGCTAATCCTCTTAGGACAACCTCCTTCCTCCCATACATCCTCAAGTATATCTGAGTAACTCTTTGTCATGTAATTTTACGATAAAATAATACATTCACGTGGCTTAAAACTCAAAATATATAATGAGGGGCAACTGGCTCAGTCAGTAGAGCATGCAACTCTTGATCTCTAGGTCATGAGTTCAAGCCCCACATTTGGCCTAGAGCTTACTTAAAATAAGTAAAACCAATAATAATAAAAGTAAAATATATATATGAATACATAAAATGCAGTCTACCTCTTCCCCTTCCCCAGTCCCGTTTTCACACACCACCATTGTTGTTAGGGTTTTTTGGTGGTGTTTTCCAGAGATACACATATTACATATCAACCCCCTCATCCTTTCATTTATTTATTTTTTGAAGATTTTATTTATTTTATGGAGAGCACAAGCAGGGGTAGGGACAGAGGGAGAGAGAGAATCTCAAGGAGACTCCCTGCTGGGCGCAGAGCCCAGTGTGGGGCTCGACCCCACACTCTTGCAAATGAGACCTGAGCTGAAACCAAGAGTCAGATGCTTATCGGACTGAGCCACCCAGGTGCCCACCCCCACCCCCTGCCTTTTAAATTAACTGCTGACCTATTATGAGTACTATATGTACTGTTTGCATTTTATTTAATTAAATAATTTATTTGTTCAGTGATAGAAGTTTATTTCTCACAGTTCTAGAGGCTTGATACATTTTATTTTTCAAATTAATGTGTGTCAGTACACAAAGCAACCTCCATCTTTGGTGCAGCTGGATAGAATTCCGTTGTACTGTATGGAATACCAGACCCCATAGACTGACCTTCAGATTTTTTTCAGTTGTTTGCTATTCCAGAAAAATGTTACAAAGAATAGCTGCACATACATCATTTTGCACCTTTGCAAGTACATCTGAGGAATATATTCCTAGAAGTAGAATCACAAGAACAGATGGTTTGGGTATTTTAAATTCTCCTAGATCTCGCCAAATGGCCCCCCAAAGGGGTTGTTCCACTTTACCCTCCCACCAGCCATGTATCCTGGCAACACCTGAATCTGCTTGGGCCAGACTGCCCCCTCTGTCTTTTTCTGGGTGCCATGCCGTGGACCTAGAAACCCTGCCTCTTTGGGCCCAGTTACCCTCTGCTGTGTATGGGACTACACTAGCGTAGAAGCTGCCAGAACCCAGCCAGTGGGTAGTAAAGTGTTTGCAGAGTACCTGCTTCAAATTCAGCAGCGGTCTTAGGCCCAGAAGTTACAGTTCCGGCTTTGGGAAGCCTAAGATATTCAGAGGAAGAATTTGACCACAGAAGAGAGGCGGCTACATTTTAAGTTGTAAGGGTAACATATATTGGGTGCTGAGCACCTAGTTCCTGGAAGGAGTTATCACATGGTGAGCATCACCAGGAAGCGTGTGGCTGGGACAGGGAATTGGAATCTGAGTTGGGAAGAGGGTAGGTGTGATGTTGCTGAGGTGAGAAGCAAAGTTGGCTGCTCTGTGCTAGCTATGCATGGTACCAGAGAGAGTTGTTAAGAGTTCGATGTCATGGGAGGTGGGGAGCTCCTGGCAGGTTTGAGCAAACAAAAAGAGTGATCGTGTTTGTTTTGCAAACCTCAGTGAGAAGGAGCCTGTCTGGGCCTCAGTTTTCCAGGTGAAAGGGGACAGGAGGTACAGGTCACTTCTCACGTGGCTCTTCCTGGACCAGCCACAGTGGGGCCCAATCTGGGGTGAGCTTGGGGGAAGAGCCGGGCTGGTTCCGGGAGCAAATTGCTTTGGCGACAACTCGGGAGCAAGAAATGGGCCTTTCACCTTCCCATGGGTTGCTGTTGATTTTTCTGATGAAGTGTGGTATTTAGGAATTAACCCCACCCTCTCCCCATGTGTGCCTTCACAGACTAGCTTCCTTTTATGAAATCGCAATTCCTGAACTGGAGTCCGCAATGAAGAAGAGGAGGCTTGAAGACAGCAAGTGAGCAGGGGACAAAACTAAGTGCTTTGTCGTCAGGGAGAGAGGCCCTGCTTTCCCGGGCTTCAGCGTCCCCATCTCTAAGAACGAGGGGGTAGCCCCGTGGAGTGTCCCTGCCTAGCAGCCTCCCAGCCCCAGCATCCTAGGCTTTTCCCCCTCTGCTGTTGCTCCAACCTCTTAGTAATCAGTGGACCAGTTTCCCACCCACTGTTTACAGAGAAGCAGCCGGGGAATCCACTGGCCTCTTGGGGCCTGTAGCCTTTTGCCAACTGCTGTCCACAGCGCATTGTGACACGTTCTCAGCCCTGGGGAGGGACACCTGCAACTATTGAGAATAAGCTCCCTCCGGGCCTTTTTAATCTCCTTAATTTCTATTTTTTTTTCCCTTCCCTCTCTCTCTTTGGCCTTCAAAGGCTGCTAGGGGACCTGTGGCAGAGGCTGTCCCATTCTAGGAAGAAGCTACTGGAGATTTTTCACATCCTCATAAACCAGATCTGCCTTCTCCCTGTCCTGGAAAGCAGGTGAGCCCTTGGGAGCAGCTGCCTAGGTGGCTAGGCCAGCAGACGTGTCCCCCTCACTTCCTCTGCCCCCTTCCTGGTTGAGCGGAGATGGGAAAAAGAGACCCATGCCTCTTTCCTCTCACTGGCCTGAGGCTTTGCAGAGGAGCAGGGAGGGAAGTTCCAGATCATTTGCATCAAGCGAGCTCATCTGCCCTGCTGTCCTGTTCCAGCTGTGACAACATTCAGGGCTTCATTGAAGAGTTCCTTCAGATCTTCAGCTCCTTGCTGCAGGAGAAGAGGTGAGTGCAGTCGAGCTGGGACCAGTGGGCACGAGGCCTTACATATTACAGCTTCTGCCAAATGCTTATCCTGGTCTGAGGTTCTTGGTTGGGCAGCAGACCAGCGCCTGTGTTGCCCCAGCCTTGTCCCTTCTGTCTGCTTCCTGGCCAGCAGGTTCCTCCGGGACTACGATGCACTCTTCCCTGTGGCCGATGATGTCAGCTTGCTCCAGCAGGCTTCCGCAGTCTTGTATCCTTCTCCCACAGCCTCTGGGACAGGACCTGGCCTGACCAAGTTGGAGATGGGCTGCGAGGACCCCGGGGAGCGGAGGGAGGTTTAGCTCCAGAACCCACGGGTCTGCCAGCTACAACCCACGGGTCTCCAGAATGCCCGCCAAAGTCCCAGCCCCGTCTCTGGAGGAGATGACTACTCTGGTCCTCAGAGCTGGGTGGGGTCAGAGGCCTGCGTTCTGCAGGTGTTTACTGAGTGTCTGGGCCTGTGTGACCAACATGGACTCAGCCCTGCTCTCACAGACCTCATAGCAGGAAGGGAGACAGACAAGGAAACAAGCAAGCTTGGGGTAAGGCTATGAGACAGAAGTGCTGTCTGAGCTGAGAACAGCAGAAGAGAATGGAGGAGGCCAAGACCAGGGCTAAGTGTTCCCAGTAGGTGGAGGACAGAGAGGCCCTTCTGAGGAGCTCTGAGACATTTTGTGTGGCTTGGAGGTGTGGGGTTGGGGGGACCGGGGTCTAGCAGGAAGAAACTATCACGTGGTAGGTGAGCAGACCTGCATGGCTCCGGGACGACTCTCACTGAGTTTGGACTCTGTCCTACAAGCACTGGGGTGTCATGGAAAGGTGTGAAACAGGGAGTAACAGGGTCAGTTTTATACTTTGGAAAAGCTCTGTCTGGCACTGGGAAGAGAACAGACTGGCCTGGGACCTCTGTGAGGCCCAGGGGCTGATGGGGATGCTGTGGCTGGCATCCAGGTATGGCCAGTGGGGGTGCAGTTTAGAAGGGGTAGGAGGGCATCTAGGGCAACACCCAGACGTCGGGCTTGGCAGTGCTGGAGTGGTAAGAGAGTGAGGAAGGACAGGGAAGAGGGCCTGTGGGCCATGTTGGAGGCTGGGTTAGGTGGCTCAGGCTCGCCTCAGGGATACCCCCTGGGCCCCCAGCCTTTTTTTTTTTTTTTTAAGATTTTATTTATTTATTTGACAGATCACAAGCAGGCAGAGCAACAGGCAGAGAGAGAGGGAGAAGCAGGCTCCCTGCTGAGCGGAGAGCCGGGCCCCTAGCCTTTGTAGGAAGCCCTCAGCTAGTTGGACAGGAGGCCGGGTGGCAGGACCCACATCAGGCCCTCCTCCTAGGGGTCAGTGCAGAGGAGGAGCTGCTGGCTCCCCCAGATGTCACATCCCAGGGTGCCCCTGGCCCTGTCTTCATCCAGACCTGCTTTCTGCTGAGTGTGAGGCACTGGGTTTTAAGGCCAGGATGGTCGTGGCCGGCCTGCTTCCCAACGCAGCCCGGGTGCCCATGATGCCCACTGGGTACAGCTCAGATAGCCCCTAACACAAGTCACAGGGTCAGGTGCCAGAAAGGGATTGAGAAACTATGCTGCCTCAGAGCAAGGGAGGCAGCGAAGGCCCCCGCCCCCAAGAGAGAGACGCCTTAACCCCTGTCAACAGGGACGAAACGCGGACTGCCTACATCCTCCAGGCCGTCGAGGGTGCATGGGAAGGGGTGGACCGACGGAAAGCCACAGATGCTAAAGACCCGCCAGCGGCTGAGGATCCTAATGGGGTCATTGCGCTGGCAGACGCCATTGGGGGACCGTCCTCACGTCTGGAAAACTCAGAGGAAGGCGAGGTGTGTGTCTGCAGCAGCGTTTTCACCAGCTTCCCCTGCCCTTTCCGGGAAATCTCTCCCCCTACTCTGTTTCCGCTCTCAGAGAAAAGCGTTTCTTTTGGAATTGACAGCCTCGAGCTGCCTTTGGAGAGTCCTGCAAGTTGCTTCAGCTGCCAAAACCCCAGTTTCTCCCCTCTAAAGTGAAGTGCTGGAGCTTTGGGAAATCCTTCCTGGAGCACTCCTCTGAGCAGATAGATCGCCGCGGTGCTACTTCGGCTGCAGTGGAGAGCGGCGCCTGGTCTCACTGCTTGGCCAGCCTGGATTCCCTGCCGGGGCACAGCACAGCTCCACTGAGCGAGTTTTGAAGCCCCCAATCTAGCACTTTCTCTCCAGGCTTTTCCAGAACTCGCCCACTCTACAGCTGTACAGATGGACCACTGAGCCCAGGACTCTTCCCTGCATGTTGGGAGGCTGCGTGATATGGGGATCAAGGCGACCCAGTCTCTGGGGTCCAGCAGCTCAGGGGTGTACCCGGCTCCTGCCACTCACCAGCCGTGTAGCCGTCACTCCCTTCTAGCCTCTGTTCCCCATCTATAAGTGAGGACGGTCACCATCCCTACCTCCTCGAGTTTGTGGGGATTTCCAGAGGGGTTGTGTGGAGTGCCCCAAACCCAGCCGGCCCTCTGTGCTCTGTTAACAGATGCCATTCTCCTTCCTGTTAGACTCAGGCCCGTGACTGCCACAGGGCCTTGGAAAATGACAGTCCTTGCCACCTTTCCCACACTCTTCCCCACTTGAGCTTCTTAACAGAGATATGGACGATTCTTTTTTTTTTTTTAAGATTTTATTTATTTATTTGACAGAGATCACAAGTAGGCAGAGAGGCAGGCAGAGGGGGAGGAGGAAGCAGGCCCCCCACCAAGCAGAGAGCCTGACGCAGGGCTCGATCCCAGGACCCCGAGACCATGACCCCAGCTAAAGGCAGAGACTCAACCCACTGAGCCACCCAGGCACCCCTGACATGGATGATTCTTATTGTTGTTTGTTTGATTTACAAATTTCCTTAAATGAAAAGCCTAACCGAATTCAGTCACATGGAGCAGGATATGAACTGAATCCCCCTTCTTAAAAGGAATATAATCAAAGGGGAGCAGCTCCCCATGGTCCAGGGCTGGTGATTGCCATTCCTCTCCAGTGCTGTTCCTCTCCATCAACTTGTTAGAGCTGGCTAAGGATGAGTAGAGGCCACGGCCATTTACATAGTGTCTAGTTTTCTCCATGCACTATGCTCGGTGCCTCGGGTGAATGATTCTCTCCGAGCCATCTGAGACAACCCCATGAGGTGTGTGGTAGTAGGCCTATTTTATATGGAAGGAGCTCATGTTCAGAGAGGGGGAGTGCCCTGCCCAAAGTCACACAGCCAGAAGTAGCTCTGCCAGTAAGTCACAGAACCCCAGGTGTGGCAGGGCCAAGACTCATACCAGGTCCCTGGATTCCTGGTCCTGTGCTTTTCAGGGCCTGTGGCCCTCTCACCCACCTGGCCCAGTCTTCCCCTCCTTCACTCCAGCTTTCTCCACAGTGCATGGGGGCAGCAGCTGCCCTGGGCCCTCCCGTAGGTGGTGTGGAACTAGACTCGCTCATCTCCCAAGTGAAGGACCTGCTGCCGGACCTCGGTGAGGGCTTCATTCTGGCCTGCCTGGAGCACTACGGCTATGACCCGGAGCAGGTGATCAACAACTTCCTGGAGGAGCAGCTGGCCCCCGCCCTCAGCCAGCTGGACCGCAGACTAGACAGGTGGGAGAGAGAGGTGGGAGGTGGCTCCCGGTGCCCAGGCTGTGGCATGGCCCCGGCTGGAGGCACTCTGGGGGTCTTGTCTGGGCCCCTTCTTGGGTTCTCTGCTTCCCCCTCCTGTGCCAGAACTCAGCCCTCTGTCTCTTGCCCATGGTAGCATTTACCAGCCATGTAAATGATGGCCTCCTCTGGAAAACCTCAAAACTTTAGGTCCCTGGGGGGGTCCTCATGTGCCCCCTGCAGGGCGGAGAGTGTGCACAGCGGCACCTCACTGGAGCACCGATGTGGCATGTGACAAAGGGGTTGCCGAGCCTTTCAGAATGCCGAAGTTTCTGGCCTGCCCCTGTCATTGTCACCTTTCCAGTCAATTCCCAAGGGAGGATGGCCAGCGCTTCTCACTTTCCTCACACCTCCCTTTCAGAGTTTGGCCCACTGCTTCTCGGAAGGCCCACAGGGCCGCAGTGATGGGTACACAAATGGGTGTTTTTCCCATGAACAAATTATGTTTTTTGAATGAATGAACTTAGCTCCGTCTCTGGACAAGTTCCTTAGCTACTTTGTGCCCATTTTACAGAGGAGGGCACTGAGGCACAGAAGGGTTGAGTGTTCTTAGGGACCCATCTTGTCAGACTATTGCAAGTGTTCGGTAAGGGAGGGAACTTTGAAGAAAATCCATGTGACCAGCCCATGGGACCGAGGGGGAGCCTTGAGTGAGGGATGGCTGTGTCCCCAGGGAGGGGCCAGACGGAGCAGTGCTTTAGATCACGTCTCGTGTGGCTGTTGAAGGGGAGTGGAGAATCTGATGGAGGTAACGTGGTGGGTGTCCATAGGGCACAAGGTAGGTATCAGCTTACCGATCAGTCCCCCTTAAATTGATTTCTGGGTCACTTCCAGGCAAGTGAAGCCAGACCCGACTCCCCTGCTGACATCTCGTCACAACGTCTTCCAGAATGACGAGTTTGACGTGTTCAGCAGAGACTCAGTGGACCTGAGCCGGGTGCACAAGGGCAGGAGGTGAGTACAGTGGGCTGGGGGGTGCCAGGCTCCCCTACTCTGTATGTGCAGAGAGAAAATCAAAAGACAGTAAAGGCTCCGTCTTTATGGAACTGGCCTGAGTTTCAGTTTAGGGTCTGCCTGAGCAGTCCAGGACCTCTGTACTCCCAGCAGACAGGGCCAGCTTCTACACTTGATCTTAGCCAAAAGGCCGAGAAGCGATAGGGCCAGCTTCTCTAATAGTTACATGTTAAGCTCTGACTCTGCACGGGGTGGTTTTTAAATGAATCCCCTTGTGGATAGCAAAAGGCCAGAGGAACCTAAGCTGTCCCCCTCCTCCCTTCTTATATCTTTGGATGTGTCAACCGTCAAATCTTTGGACAATAGAGCCGAGCGGTACTTCTAGAAGCCGCCCCTCCACGTGATTTTCTCTGTTCTGTGACAAAATGAGAAAATTAAGGGCCTATACTAAGTGAGTTTTTCAGAGGGTGAACGCATTCTATTTTAAGGCCTTTCTACTTATTTTTAGTGTATGTCCCTTCTACTTTTTTGGGATTGAAAAGCCCATTTATGATTTATTCATTCATTCAACAAATATTTGCCTGGTGCTTACGGCATACTCGGCCCTGGATTTATTAGGTGCTGGAGATATAAGTGGGCAGTGAAACAGACACGGCCCCTGGCCCTGTGGAGTTTGCAGTAATCAGTTGTTCAAACAAGCAGAGTAACATTGCAGATCTAACAGGCACTATAAGGTGAAGGTGTACGGACTTCCGAGCTTCCGGTAAGGGATTTGATCTGAGTAGGAAGGCTCCTCTGAGGAAATGACATGGGACCAAGAGCGGAAGAATGAGGAAGGGTCAAAGGGTCAATTCTGAAAAGAGCGGGCAAGGAGAAACTTTCCGGGCAGAGTAAACAACAGGGATGGTGACCCCGAGATCGTGGGGAGCATGGTGATGGTCCGTGAGCTGACACATTTTATGCTTTGGAAAAAAGACCTGGCTTTGGAGTAGAGGCCCATTGGAGGGACCACGAGTCAGTCAGTAGTGATGATGGTTCAATAGAAAAGGCAAAGTAAGACATTGACAACACTGTGCTAGCCCCCAGGGTTCCTTTAAATGGTATTGGTTCATAAAATCTGGGAATTTGGGGGGCGCCTGGGTGGCTCAGTGGGTTAAAGCCTCTGCCTTCGGCTCAGGTCATAATCCCAGGGTTCTGGGTTCGAGCCCCGCATCAGGCTCTCTGCTCAGCAGGGAGCCTGCTTCCCCCCCACCCGCCTGCCTCTCTGCCTACTTGTGATCTCTGTCTGTCAAATAAAATGAGTAAAATCTTTAAAAAAAAAAAAATCTGGGAATTTAGGAACTGCAGGACAAGTACAGGCTACGCCCCCCCCCTCGTTATATACATATGGAGACAGTGAAGTTTAGAGAGGGGCAGTGAGAGACCTGCCCCGTTCTTATGATAGGAACCCCGGCAGCAGAATTGCAAGCTGCTTCATCAGTGAGGGCCCCGTGCGGCTCCCTCTCCCCAGGGCCATCTCATGCTAGAAGCTCAGCTGGCCGACGGCTTCAGGGAGCGGGCGCAGGGCAGCTATAAAGCTATCTGGCTGGGGGCACCTGGGTGGCTCAGTGGGTTAAAGCCTCTGCCTTCAACTCAGGTCATGATCTCAGAGTCATGGGATCGAGCCCCACATCGGGCTCTAGGCTCAGCATGGAGCCTGCTTCCTCCCCTCTCTCGGCCTGCTTCTCTGCCTCCTTGTGATCTCCATCTGTCAAATAAATAAATAAAATCTTTAAAAAAAAAAAAAAAAAAGGCTATCTGGCTGGCTGGACAGGAAGCAGTTGTAAACTGCTTAGTCACACACGTTGCGACATCCCCAGATCCCGGGTTAGAGATGTTATCCTGCATCAGCGGCCACTGTTCCAGACCAGCATGACCCTTGCAGCTCCTGCTATGGAAAAAGGGGCAGATGAGGAGGGCTATGCCTTGCTCCGAGGGTACTCCAAGCCGCTGGGCGGAGAGACTGGGCGGCAAATGTTTACCAAACTCGTGAAGTTGGGTCGCCTGGGGGCTGGGGATTGCAAAGAGGCAAAGCCTCCATTTATGTGTTCATTATTTATTTATTCATTCAGCAAATATTTATTAAGTGATTTACTAGCTCCAGATCCTGTGCTAGACACCAGGGAGACAAGGTGAGCAGGGCACTCGGGGCCATGCTCTCAAATGGCACAGAGACCGTGGGAAAGACTCAGGCCATTAAACGAGTAGCAACAGAGTGGGAGAGGTGCTGGGGTGGGGCATACAGGGACCGCAGTGGGGACGCCTGTCCTAATCTGGGCAGGGCAGTCAGCAAGCACATGAGAAAAGTAGCACAAGGCAGGTCACACTTGAGTTAAAAGGTAGGTGTGTGGTTAAATCAAATAGCTGCACTCAGTGGCTCAAGTAATAGGGAAATCTCTTCCTGGCATGAGAGGGAGTTACAAGGTAGGGCAGTCTAGGCTTGGTTAACCTGTGGTACAGCCTCATCATCAAGGAAGCATCTTTGCCATCTCTCGGAGCTAGTTCCTTTGAAGCCACTGGGCGGCTGCAGCTTTTTCAGCCGCAACCTCCAGAAGTGACAGTGCCAAGAGGAAGTCTGGACCAGATCTTCCTGTATCTCTTTTAGAGACCAGGAAGCCTTTCCCACAAGTCTCCAGCTCTGGTCTCATCCCAGTGGGGAGCTGGATCACAGGGCCAAGGTCCAGGCCTCCAGCAGAAGGGGGAAAGGTCAAAAGACCTGAACCAAGTGAGGGTCTGTTAGGAGTGGGATGAGGTGGACGATGGCTGTTGGGTAGATGCCAGGCACATGGGCCAAATGAAGGAGGCAGTGTGTATAAGGTGGGGTCCCATAACTCCTTTGGACTAAACTCATAATCTGGAAGATTATGAGTGTTCTCCCTCAGAAAAGGGTCTCTGGCCAAAAAAATGTCTGTGCACCTGGCTTCTTGGAGAGGCGCAGAGCACATTAGCATGTTAAAGGCTCTGACAAGTCCTGCAGTGAAAAGAAACAGGATTCACTTTGTTGAGCTGAGTAGGTGCCAGGTTCACTTTTAGTCATCATCTTATTTCATCCCTGGGATGCAGAATTAAGATTTGGCAAGGATAAGAGGCTTACTTGTGATGGATCACACAGCTCAGGAAGTACCTGAGCAGACTCGAGTTGGTAGACCTGTATTCTGGCCCTGGCTTGGCTGGTAGAAGCTGGGTGACCTTGGGAAAAGTGCTATGCCTTTTGGGACCTCCGTTTCCTCACCTGCAAAAGGAGGGGTTTTTTGCCTCCTCAGGTCCTTTAGGAGTTCAGAGGTGGGAGTCATACCCCAAGGGCCAGTTGGGCCTTGAAGGATAGGCTGGAAGAGGTGAGGAGGGGAAAAGTGGCTGGGCTTCAGGGGAGCCCACATGGTCCCTGGGCTCCCTGTCATCTTGTAAGAGGCCAAAGAAGCACCCGCTCCAAAGTCTCCAAAGCCACGGTTGCTCGTGTTTCCAGACTTGACTGGAGTTCTGGGCCTCGGATGGGTCTTTTCCTGGCTGGCATTCATTGCCTCTGACTTTTCCTTCTTGGCTCTAAATGGGGTCATGTGGCCGAAACTGCACCTCCCTGGATAGCATGCCCAGAGCACCGGGCTCCACTGTCCCTGCCTGTGTCCTCCCCAGGAGGACCCTGGGTGGGCAGAGTTGTCAAGGTTTTGCTGGCCCTGCCAGGGAGCCACATAACCAAAAGCCTACAGTGGGACCTTACGCACAAGAACCGGGGACTGGATGGACCAGGAGCTATGGGGTGTGGCAGAAAGGACTGTGACCTCTCTCATTCATCCCTGGACGCCTGGCTCAGCACAGGTCTTAGCACCTAGTCGGCCCTCAGGAAATATGTGTAGAAAGAGGGGATGTGCTCCTTCCAGTGGCACCAACCACTTGGATGAGCTCGGGCCCCTTTGCCTTGCTCCCCTCTTCTTTCCTCTTTAGCCCCCAGCCTGATGAAGAGGACCAGGTAAGGGCTGGGCCCAAAGTCACAGGCGCCCTTTCTTGGCATGATATGAAATTTTCCTGTGGACCAAGAATTTTCCCTGGTCTAGATCCAGTGCTCCCCAATGCCCCCCGCCAAGAGCCTCCATTTCCTCTCCTCCCACCCCATCCCCACTAGACCCCCTGAAGCCAGAGGTCATGTTTCCTTTCTCTGTGTTCTTAGGGCATGCTTACCTTCATTCAGCACATTTCATGATAGCTGCCGTTTGGTCGTGACCCTCTCTAGACTATGAGTTCCATGAGGCCAGATCCAGACCTCACTCTTTTCTTTTTTTTTAAGATTTTATTTTTTTATTTGACAGAGATCACAAGTAGGCAGAGAGGCATGCAGAGAGAGAGGGGGAAGCAGGCTCCCTGCCGAGCAGAGAGCCCGATGCCGGGCTCGATCCCATGACCCTAAGATCATGACCTGAGCCAAAGGCAGAGGCTTAACCCACTGAGCCACCCAGGTGCCCCGACCTTACTCTTTTTTGATTCTCTCTTGCAACTCAGCCTTAGTACCCTGCCTGCCACATAGTAGGCCCTTAGTAAAAACTACTGAAAGAAGCCAAATCCTGACCTGTCCCAGGCTCCCAGGCAGACAGCCTGAGTGATGCAGGCCCCTGTCCCTCCCTGCATCAAAAGCCAGTTAATAGAAGATTTTTATGGAAGCTGCGTATGACTTTGTACCTCTTTTTCTTCTTCTTTTTCTTCTTTTTTTACCCCCCCCCCCCAACCCTTGATACCTTCCAGAAAACCGATTTCACAGCTAAGCTGGATTTTCTTGCCTGGCATCTCATATTGATTTTCCCCTGCAGGGCTAGAAACTACATTCCACAAGCCTGCTATGTGTCTGACAAGCCAGGTTTTTCTATGGATTTGCAAAGCCACAGTTAAGAGGCCTGAGTCCCCACTGAGGCTGTGCTACAGTTCACAGATCTCAAGCACATCCCTCTCCCCTCCACCGTGCCCAAATTTCCTCACCTGTGATATATAACAGGAGTTGAACTTTTGGACTTTTTCTTCCAGTGCAATCTGATGTGGAAGATTGAACTGTAGAACAGATAGAAGGCTACTGTGAGGAAAGCAGGGGTGCGAGGAAGAAGGCAGCTACCCCTGCTCTCCCCTCACCCCCCTATGGTCTCCCGTGGCTCCCCTGAGCTTATAGTAAGTGGGCCACATGTGGCCTGCTCTTTCTTAAAATTTTTTTTTAAATTTTTTAAAGATTTTATTTATTTTAGAGAGAAACAGCATGAGCGGGAGGGGCAAAGGAAGAGAATCTCAAGCAGACTCCATTCTGAGCACGGAGCCCGACGAGGGGCTTGATCCTGGGACCCTGAGATCATTACCTGAACCTAAACCAAGAGTCAGAGGCTTTAGACTGTGTGCCACCCAGGTGCCCCTAAATTTTTGGTTTTTACTTTTTAATTTCTTTTGTAGATTTTATTTATTTATTTGGCACAGAGAGACAGCTTGAGAGGGAACACAAGCAGGGGGAATGGGAGCTGGAGAAGCAGGCTTCCTGCTGAACAGAGAGCCCAACACAGGGCCGATCCCAAGACCCTGAGATCAGGACCTGAGCGGAAGGCAGACTCTTAATGACTGAGCCACCCAGGCGCCCCTAAATTTTTGTTGTTTTAAAAGGTTCAAATAATCCCAGGCCCTACCTAAGAGTAACCATTGTCATTTGGCAGGGGACTTAATAGCTCTTTGTGCATTGACATGTAAATTATAATCTATGTGCTCATAGGAACACATAGTTTGTCTGGTTTGCCTTCTGCTTTTTATACAGCTGGGATCTTACTGCATACATTTTTCTGTAGCTTACTCAGGAGTAAGTCTTAGAATTCTTTCTGCATCAGCACAAATAGATGAATGTCATTCTTGATAACAGCCACACAGCGTTCTGTAATATAGATGTGGCACATCATTTGGCCATTTCACCTGTGATGGACACTAGTTGTTTTCCATTTTTCACTGTCACAATCAACATTGAAAAGAAAATTCCCCATCAGACCTCTTTATGCACCTGGCCAGCGGTTCCCTAGGGTGGGTGCCTCCGAGAAGAATTTCCCAGCCGAAGGGTGGGCACGTTTTACATGGCAGCATCCCTTTTGGGATGCCTTCCAGAGCAGCTGGACCGGGTCACAGGGCCACCAGCAGCGGGGACAACCGCCCCCCCTCCCCCGCCGCCCACAGCCCTCCCTTTGACACGGCTGCTTGTCAGTTTGCACGAGCCCAAGCCCATGGTGCCTTGGACACTCGCGCTCACAGCCTCCAAGGCCTGATGATTTTCCTTCCTCTCTCTGCGATGTCCCCGCTCGCCGCCGCCAGGAAGGAGGAGAACACGCGGAGCCTGCTGAACGACAAGCGGGAGGTGGTGGCTCAGCGGCAGCGCTATGAGCAGTACAGCGTGGTGGTGGAGGAGGTAGGGACCCCAGGCCTTTGCGGGGGGGCGGGGGGGAGGGAGGTGCGGAGGGAGTCAGCAGGCCCCAGGCCCATCGCCCCACACTCCTAACCCCCACACTCCTTGCAGGTACCCCTGCAGCCTGGCGAGGGCCTGCCCTACCGCGGCGACGACTATGAGGATGAGTACGATGACACCTACGATGGCAACCAGGTGGGCGCTAATGATGCGGACTCAGATGATGAGCTCATCAGCCGCAGGTGAGGCTTCGGGGCGCTAAGAGGGCGGAGTTCGGGGGGCGGGGCCGGGGGCGGGCACAGCGGTGCTCCCGAAGCCTCTTGTTCATACGGATGGGGAAGCCAAGGCCCCGATGGCATTAGCAAGTCAGTGGTAGAGCCAGGGCCTAAACTGAGCCCTTTTGACTCCTGGTGCAGTGCTCCCTCTAGCTCCAGACACCCCCTCAGCCAGTTGGTCCAACCCATCCCCAGTGGGGCAGCATTTATTTGGTTTCATGCACTCCTTTCAGATTGTTCTTAAATGCAGAAAACTCTTAGCCATGGAATCTTGGATTTCCCAGTGTGGATAAAAACAGAGCTGCCCAGCTCAGCCTCCCCTAAGCCTCCGCCTCAGATTCTGGTACCTTCAGAGAGCCTGGGGGCTGGAGCAAAGCTGGTTTAAAAGCACCCAGCCGCCTGAACCCATCCCCATCCTGATACCCACTCTCACCCAGCCCCATCGTCTCCTCCCCGAGGCTCCCTTTCCAGGTCTAATCCAGTCTTTGATCTCACTTTCTCTCTAAACCCTCAGGCCCTTCACCATCCCTCAGGTGCTGAGAACCAAAGTGCCCGGAGAAGGGCAGGAAGAGGAGGAGGAGGAGGAGGAGGAGGAGGCTGAGGATGAGGCCCCCAAGGTACCGCCTTGGCAGGTGGCAGATGAAGGGCAGGGGGCGGTTCTGAAGGGCAGATTGGGGCCACTGCACCCCTGCTTGCCTGCAGCTGGCTTTGAGGTGGCCTCACTGCCTGGGAGAAGAGGGGTTCCTCTGAGCCTAGGATGTCTGCTTGGAGAGTTGCTGGCTTGGAACTCACCTCCACTGCCCAGTGTTGGCTTAGGGGACAGGTTAGAGGCCAAGGCTTTGAGCTGCTGGGTTTGTCAGGCCCATGAGCCTGGGGGCTGAAAGAAGGACAGCTCTTGAGCAAGACAGAGAGAGAGCAAACACAAGCAGGGAAAGAAAGCAGGCAGAGGGAGAAGCAGGCTTCCTGCTGAGCAAGGAGTCCATTGCAAGACTCGATCCTAGGACCCTGGGATCATGACCTGAGCCAAAGGCAGACACTTAACCAACTGAGTCACCCAGGCATCCCAGGATGGCAATTCTGAAACTCACAGAAATGTTAGAGCCCAAGGGCCCTTGGAGGTCATCTGGCCTGGTGGGTTTGAAAATTCTGGTTTTTGGCAGCTGAACTTTTTCCTCAAATGAAACCTCAACTAGAACCTCAACATATAAAACAGGTTAAGGGTGGTGTTGCTCAGGTTGAACAGAGTGGCACCTTGGGTCCCCTGTATCCCCTTGTGCCCTCCCACCAGGGTGACAAATTCTGATGCATCCAGGCCTGGCTCCCGAGGTAACGAGTAGCAGAGACTGCCAGAGACCGTGGCTGGTGGGGCAGAAGCACACATATACCCTGTCTGAGGGGTTTCTCAGCAGAAACGGAGGCCCAGAGCTTCCAGGGCTTTCTCTTCTTCCCAGGCAAGGCACCAGCCCAGATTTTTCTGTAAAATCTTTCAGTTTTTGAATGTTATGGTTGCACTTGTTTGTGTTTCTTTTTAAACAGTACAGACTGTGAAAGCCTGTGTGTCCTCCTCCAGTCCCAGCTCTCCCCACTGCTAGTCCAGGCTCCTTTGCTTATTGGCCAAAAAAACAGTCTTCAGGAGTGGGTACTCCCGGAGCACCCCGGGGGCGGCCCTAGAGTGAGGACCAGGCAGCTCCCAGGGGCAGCTCTCTTGGCCTTCAAGGCCCTGTGTGGCCTCTCGTGGTGGCCATCCTGTCCCTCATTTGTTATCCACGCGCCCATCTGTGGTCCACCTGCTCCACCCTACCTGTGCAGGAAGCCTTCGTCCCTTTAGCGGCTTCTAAAGGACGAGAGAGGCTTCTCATGGAAAGCTTGGACCCAAGCAAGGGCGGCTGCATTACAGGGCCCCACTCCTGGCCTAGAGGCGTCTACAAGATTCAGCCGGGCACAGCTTCACAGCTACGTGAGGCTTGGGCAAATGGGGCGGCTCCTGACTCTAGATTTTTTTCTCCCCTCCCCTCCACAGCCCGATCATTTTGTGCAGGACCCTGCGGTGCTGCGGGAGAGGGCAGAAGCCAGGCGGATGGCCTTCCTCGCCAGGAAGGGGTGAGCATTTTGAAGAGCTGTGTCTGGGAGGAAAGGGGCCTTCTGGGGGGAAGGGACCCATCTGGGGAAGGCTCAGCCAAGCACCTAGTGTGTCACGTGTGTTGGTTTAATCCTCACGACAGCCCCATGACGTAGCCACTTTATCATCATCCTCATTTTACAGAGGAAGAAATAGACCATCCCCATCCCCAAGCCCTCCTCTCCTTGCTGTGGGCTGTGCTTAGCCCACAGCTGGTCCTTCCCGCAGGTAGGCCAGGGACCCATCTGGAGACAGGGCTCAGAGAAGAGAATTCACCAGACACAGGACCGGCCAGAGCCCCCAGAGCCCTGCCCTTTTGGGGCTCCATTTCTTCTCACTTGCAGTGGGACAGGGGTGTCCTGGCCCCAGCTGTGTGTCCCCTCCCAGGGACCTCTAAGAAAGGCAGTGGGCTCTTCCCATTCCCTGGGTGGCTTGTTCCTTCCTTAGGTACAGGCATGACAGCTCGACGGCAGTGGCCGGCAGCCCCCGGGGCCACGGGCAGACCCGTGAGACAACCCAGGAACGCAGGAAGAAGGAAGCCAACAAGGCAACGCGAGCCAACCACAACCGGAGAACCATGGCTGACCGCAAAAGAAGCAAAGGCATGATTCCATCCTGAGGCCGCCCTGTCAGGCCCAGCTGGGAGGGGGCAGCAGCAGACCTGCCAGGCTGAGTTACTACAGCCTCGGGTCTCCTCACCTGTTGGCCTCCTGCTGGGGCCCCAAGTTCAACTCCAACCCCTCAACAGCCTCAGCTTCGCAGCCCCTGAGAAGGCCGCCTCGTCGTCCACCAGCCAGCCGTGAGCGCCTTCTTGCAGAACACACAGTGCCTTATCCCACAGTGGAGGAGCCCCTGGGCCCAGCGAGCAGGCGAAAGGGATGGGGACAGAGCCCTAAGGCAAGCCTCACAGACCTCATGCAACAAGACACCACTTCTCTTGGTGGTTTCCTTCCCGGATGGCAGGAAACCTGTAGATTCAAAAACAAAAACAGAAAAGGCCTGCAAATAAAGTTTTTGACCCTTTCAAGCAATGATCCATGAGTGCCCCCAGCCTCCTTCCCCTGTATCCCATTCTTCAGTGACAGCCACCATCAGGAGAGTGAGAGAGCAAGGTGATCGCCTGCTCTGTTCATCAGCCTGGCATGCTTGCCTCTTGTTTTAACCCCTCCTGAGGTTGCCCTGCTTTGTCTGTCCCTGAGCACATTACTCCCTCCTCTGAACCTCTAGTCCCTGCTTGTGGAAAGAAGAGATGAAGGTGTGAGGCCCTCTGGTCCCCTCCATGCTCTCGTTCAGTCCCTGCAACCTCCACCCCTAGAGGGAGGGAGTATTTCCAGCCCTGTGGTGTAGGTGAGGCGCTGAGAGCTGGAGGTGCCTGCCCAGGCAACAGGCAGGGGGGTTGGGGGAAGAACAAGGATCAGACCCTCAGTCTGACCCCTGGCCTTTATAGAGTCCTAGACTCCCATAGGTGGTGTCATTGCCATCTCACAGCTGGCCCGAGGACACTTGTCCAGTAGCAAAGCCAATACCAGAAGTCAGATCCTCCAGAGTCAAGGAGTCAGAGACCAGAAGACGCCTGTGAAGAAGGTCCGTGCCAAGCCCTGTTGAAGGACTTGGGCCTAGTTCCTCAAAACCCCACCCGGGTGTGGTCAGTCGGTTGATAGTGTGACAGCAGGTGCCAGGCATCCCGATTCCTGGTCTCCCCTCACCCCCAGATTGTTGCTGATCAACAGAGGATCGAGTGTGCGGTATTTGCCGGCCTGATCCTCCCCAGCCCGGCCTGGAGTCCATCCATGGGAGCCGGGGCCCCTGCCCAGCTGGACCTTGACAAATCACCCGAGATGCTTGTGTAATTTATTTGCACGTGGTTTGGATGAGTGTCCGGAGCAGTGAGGCAGACAGGCACTTGACGAATTGGTTTTGTTAGGTCAGCCGCACAAGTGAAAATCAATAGCAATTCCTCTGAGTCACACCAGTTCTCTTGTTGCATTTGAGATGCAGACCAGAGAGGGGAGCGGTGTCTTCCCCTCCAACTGCTGAATTAGCTGAGATCGGGCTCAGGGTCAGCCACTCTGACAGGCAGCAGGAAGACTCTGTTTCCTCCCAGAGGCCTTTGCCAGGGGACCACACAGGTGAGGGTCATTTCTTTATTGTCTCCCTGAGCTCCTCAGACCCAGCTCTTGGCGCTGGAGCAAGGCGAGGTAAATTGGGGGAGCCCTGGGCTTTACCCACCTTACCTGTTACTGTTCACACACCCCTTCTCGCCTTCATTTTGTCATACGTACCTCCTGACCTCTGGGAGCGGCGTTCAGGCCTCACCTTGGCATCCCGGTCTAAAGGATTAGAGAAGACAAACGATTTTTCAAACTTTCCAGAATGTACTGCCAGGCCAAACTTGATCACCCTTGAAGAACTATTCTTCCTCATTGCAGATCTTGAGGGCTCCCCCTTCAGGGATGCTTTGCAAACACCTCACGCAGGAGTCCTCCAGAGCAGTGCTGGCAAGCACAACCCTTCGCCTCTCAGGGCCTCAGTTTTCCCATCTGCAAAGTGGGTACATTGGGCCAGGTGAATGGTTTCCACTTGGTGCCAATTAAATCCTCTGAGGAGGCCCCAAGGTTTAAGATGGGCAATGGCAAAAGTGTTACAAGTGAAGTAGGGTAGGAGCCCCATACCCTGCTCATTTGATCCCTGGGCCCCACCACCCCACCGCTGCTCCTAAGCAGGAATTTCCAAGTGCCTTCTCTGCACCCTGTTAGAGAACACAGCTATCACAGGCATTTCCCAGGAAGCTTTTACGACCCAGTGCCTCCAAGAGGACTTAGGATTTTGAGTGCCATTATTTCTAGCTCAAGAGGGGCACTGATGGCAAATATGTCTGTCTGAACAGGGCTTCTGGACCTCTGTGAGGTGGGGAGGGCAAGGCAGGGCCTGTCATTGATTTAAAAAAAAGGGACCCGGGAGCCCAAGGAGGCAAGTTAGCAGTGGAGCCTGGATGCAGGTCGGTCCTTAGCCCCAGGTGCAGTCTGGAAAAGGAAACGATTAGCAGGAGCCTGCCTGTCCCTGTCACACCGGGAGCTTGGGTTGAATAATGCATAATGCAGAGAGGGAGACCCAAGAACCACAAACAAAAATAAACCCACCAAAAATGCAGGGGGTGGTTGTGGAGCCCCCTACTTTAAAATGATGTCAATGAACACTTGGTAGCAATGTGAGAAACAAAATATTGAAGAGTAAGTTTGTTGGTGGTAATGGTGTTTTTTAAGAGAATGAACTGGATGGTAATGCTCCACGATTGTGAAAATATTTTTGGAAAACTTCGTGTACAGACTAAGTCTGGAAAGCAATGTGCATAAATGAAAATGACAGTAAGACCATGATATTTGTAATGAGAATAAAAGCGCTTACCGAGTACTCACTGCGGCCAGAGTTTTCTGCTGGGCTCTTTCCTTGTGTTATCTTGTCGAACTCACACCAGGTAGGTTCAGATGAGAAAACCAAGGTCAGAGAGGGCAGGTGACCTGTTTTACATTCCACACTTACCATATGACCAAGGAGGGCTTCAGGCCCATGATTTCCTAATGCCCACGCTTCTAACCCCTATGCCACATGCCATCCTTTCTTTCTTTCCCCACCTCCGCATCCTTGTCACTAGTGTCCTTAACAAAGAAGAAAATATAAGCCCAATAGCTATAGGACAAGAGGATGGGAAATCCCAATTCATCAGACCTTTTTTTTTTTTTTTCACTTTGTTTTCAGATTGGTTTGTCCTTTCCTCTGTGTGTCCAGTCTGCCGCGAAGCCCACTGAATGATTCTTCATTTTTATGTCCAGGGGAAGCAGAGAAAAGGCTTGCGGGGGGCGGGGGGAGCAGAGAAAAGAGCTCTCTCGACAGAGATGGAGACAGCAGACCCTGAGGAGCACAGAGGCCTGGGAGGGGGCAAAAGGGTCCAGGGTGAATATGGAAGAAGGGTGGGAAAGAGGATGGGAGCCCCAGAATTAGGACCACAGGCCAGGCCATGGCCCAGACATTTGTCCAGAGCAGCTCCCAGTATGAACTGGCTGTCCTCAGGGCTTGGGGCATGGACGGTCAGCCTGGTTGGAAGGACCAAGGGAGGAGAGGCTAAATGCATCCACTCGGCACATGTTTACCAAGGTCTACTAGGTGCCAGGCACTGAGTCAGGCATGTGTGAGAAAGACCAGCCCCTCATCCCCTGCCCTCGTGGAATTCACAGTCCAAGGTGGGATCTGGACGTTAAGACATTTTGGGAAAGTGATTTAGTCACAGTTGTACTAAGCCCTAACAAATGAATGAAGAAATGAACAGGCAAGATAAACAGAAAGAAGCCAAGAGCAAAGAGACTTTCCAGAAGCAGCAGGTAGTGGGGGTGCCTGGGTGGCCCAGTTGGTTAAGTGTCTGCCTTCGGCTCAGGTCATGATCCCAGGGTCCTGGGATCGAGCGAGGAGTCAGGCTCTCTGCTCAGTGGGGAGCCTGCTTCTCCCTCTCCTTCTCCCCTCCATGCTCCCTACCACCTCTGGCTCTCTGTCTCTCTCAAATAAATAAAATCTTTTTAAAAAAAAGAAAAAAAAAAGCAGCAGCAGAAAAGGGTAGTGGTCACAGCGTCAGGCAGCAGCTGGGAGGTCAACCAGGCTAAGTCAGTGAAGCTCATGAGGGGCTTTGCCCCACCTCCCCAAGAAGGGAAGACATGGAAAGAATGGAAGGTGAGGAAGAGAAGGCAGGAGAGTGGGCCCTTCTTCCAAGGAACATGGCTTCAGGAGGAAAAGAGAGCTGAGAGGAGAGGAAGGAGCCTTGGAACCCAAACCGTTTTTTTTGTTGTTTTTTAAAAGATTTTATTTATTTATTTGGCAGACAGAGATCACAAGTACACAGAGAGGCAGGCAGAGAGAGAGGGAGAGGCAGGCTCCCCGCTGAGCAGAGAGCCCGATGCGGACCCTGGGATCACGACCTGAACCGGAAGGCAGAGGCTTTAACCCACTGAGCCACCCACGCACCCCACCCAGACTGTTTTGATGGGATGTCTAGGAGGAGGGGAGGCACCAGGGCTCTAGAAAATGTGCTTGGGGGAAGGCTAGTCCCCAGTAGGAGTTTTCCCTGTCTGCGAGCGGAAGGAAGGGCTACTCCTTAGAGGGTCTAACTTGAAGGAGGTGTTTCATTAGGAAAGATTAGTGAGCCCAGGAGATAAGACACGGAGGCGCAGACTTGCAGCCCCAGGGCAGGATGTAGCCTCTCTATTGGAGGCCTGGACGGAGGGAGAGAGAATTGTGCTCAGACTTCTGCAAAGGAGAAAGACAGACGAAAGCAGATAGGAGTCCGTTATGTGGTTAAAGGTGTGGGGAAGAGATAAGGACCACGGGAGGAATGCACCAGTCAGCTAGAGTTTAAAACAGTGTTAGAGACACTAAAAACAAGATTATCACAGGACACGCAGGGGAGCGCAAGAGGGTGATCAGGCCTTAGAGGGATAGAAAGGATGTCAGGAACACGGTTTCAAAACAGCTAGGACAAGGGGTGGGGCACTTCGATGATTCAGCTGTACAGTCATCCCCAAGGCTCTCAGCCCCTATTTTGTGGATCAAATATGCTAATTAGGCACTGTTCCCTGAAGACTGTGCAGGGAGGCCCCCCCACCCCCGTAATGTACTCATGGTAACAACATAACAAAACCACGGCTGGTAGGCGTGTGCTAAAAACATTAGAAGCATTATGTCACATAGCTTCCCAACCACCCTGTGAGGTATTGCTATCATTATCCCATTTTCCACAGGAGGAAACTGAGGCTCACAGAGGGGAAGCAACCTGCCCAAGGTCACCTAGCCAGAGAGTAGCAGAACTATAATTCAGGGGCACTTGGGTGGCTCAGTCAGTTAAATGTCTGCCTTCGGCTTGGTCATGATCCCAGGGTCCTGGAATCGAGTCCCGCATCAGACTCCCAGCTCTATAGGAAGCCTGCTTCTCCCTCTCCCGCTCCCCCTGCTTGTGCCCCCCTCTCTCTGTGTTTCTCTCTGTCAAGTAAATAAATAAAATCTTAAAAAAAAAAAAAAAAGAACTAGAATTCAAAACCAGGCATGCGCTATTTCCATGCCTAGAACCAAGGCAAGAGAGCAAAGGGACCCACAGCAAGGACTGCATTTGGAAAGTTCGTAAGGTGAGATTTGAGGAAGCTTGGATCTTAAATGTCAGGTTAAGGAATTTGAACTTGCTCTTAGCAGTAGTGGGGAGCCATTGAAGCTGTTTGAGCAAGGGAGTTTATCTGGCGGTCTTATGAAGGTGCAGTGGAGAAGAAGTGTCCAGAGCAGCCAAGGAAATTTTCTGTGCAGGAGTTTCGAAGGGAGGAAAGGCCGGGAACAGCAGGAAGACAGTCAGCCAATACCCTGTGAGTACAGGGGAACTAAGTGGCTCCCAGCTGACACTCTCACTACATTCCATCATTGCCTTGTCCTTGATGCCAGCGGGAGTCTGCCCTTGGCATTCAGTCTGTGTATAAATCCAAGCCTATCAGTCCAAGGCCCCAGTGAAGAGAGCTAAATGATTTTTACACAGCACCGAGCTGTGGTTACAAGCACAGCCTCTGGAGCCAACTATCCTGTATTTGAACCTCTGTTCTACTTTCTTGAGCTGGGTTACCCTGGGCAAGATATGTAACCTCTCTGAACTTTCATTTTCTACTTGTACAGTGGGGTAGAGAGCAGTGCCCGCCCCGGGCTGGGGAATCTAGTAACATAGGGTATGTTAATGGTACCAGGCCCAGGTGTGTGTGTGTGTGTGTGTGTGTGATCCTCTGGGTGGGCTGGTGCCTGCCCCTTTTCCCGTGTTCATCCTTTGCTCACACTGAAGTAACGGCCATAACCTCTATTTTGCCTGCGGAATTTGTATTCCCTCCAACTTTGCACATTGCTCAGACATTTTAAATTCATTGATTCCTGTCCTTTCCTCACAAGACTTCAAATTCATTTGTAGGACAGACTTGCTCCTTGTTATTGGAAGAACTGGCTGAGTTACGGGATGAAATCTATTTCTGTTTAATAACTTACATGGCTTTCCCCCCTCTTATTACAAAAGCGGTAACAACCTTCTCAGTGTGGTTCACATCAGTAAGCAAAGAGAAAGAACACCTCCACCACCCGGAAATAATTGCCGTTAGGATTTTAGCCCTATGACATTATTTTAGAAAAAGGAATATACATAGGCACTTGATTTTTTTTTTACATAAGCATTTTCCACAAACATGGGATCATATTACATAGGCGCTTATCCCTGTTTTTTTTTGGTTAGTTGGACATAGTGAACATGTTTCCCTTTCTCATCTGTATCCTCTTTAAAGGGTTAGCAGTGTTCTCCTGTGATACTGTCGTGCCTGGAGTTGTTCGTGTTGTTTGTTTCTCATTATTTGCTATTAAGCTGCAACGATCAATCTCCTGGCTAAATAATTGTCCAATCCACGGTTATTTTCTCAGGGTAAATCCTTAGAATTGCTGAGTCAAGTTTCTTGACTGTTGAATTAGCCCCTCCCACCAGCCGAATTTCAGAAGGATCATTTCCTGTATCTTTGCTCACGCTGGGTATTATCACAATTTTTACAAATCTTCACGAGTTTAATAAGTAAAAGGGTTTCTAGCTATTTTGATTTGGCAAATCTGTTCTTGCAGGTCCTCAAGGAGTAGATGGGTCTTAAGGTCTAAAATGGATCTGAGAGCATGTGGGGAATGGGCAGAGTGGGTGAAAGGTGGCGGGAGATGCAGACTTCCAGTTATGGAATGAGTAAGTCATGGAAATAAAAGGCGCAGCATAAGGAATATAGTCAATTCCATTAGAGGAGCGTTGTATGGTGACAGATGGTAGCTACATTTGTGAGCATACCATAAAATACAAACTTGCCAAATCACTCTGTCGTACACCTGAAACTGATGTAACATTGCGTGTCTGCTATAGTCGAATAAAAAAATTAATTAAAAAAAATTAAATGGGGGGTGCCTGGGTGGCTCAGTGGGTTAAGCCGCTGCCTTCGGCTCGGGTCATGATCTCAGGGTCCTGGGATCGAGTCCCACATCGGGCTCTCTGCTCAGCAGGGAGCCTGCTTCCCTCTCTCTCTCTCTCTCTCTGCCTGCCTCTCTGTCTACTTGTGATCTCTCTCTGTCAAATAAATAAATAAAATCTTAAAAAAAAATTAAATGGGGTGCCTGGGTGGCTCAGTCAGTTAGTCATCTGCCTTCAGCTCAGGTCATGATCCCAGGGTCCTGGGATCGAGCCCCACATCGGGGTCCCTGCTTGGCGAGGAGCCTGCTTCTCCCTCTCCTGCTCCCCCTGTTTGTGTTCTTTCTCTCTGTCCAATAAATAAATAAAATCTTTTTTTTTTATTAAATAGACTGGAGAAATAAACCTCTTACACACTAAC